TTCCCACTGTCTGCCATAAAGCAGTTAGAAAATGGATAGATGAATGTTGCTTTTCTTTGGTGTGAATACATATTTGTATTTGTAGTACATCCATCTATATTTGTAGTACAAAGTGTTATTTTTTACTAGATATTTTATTCTCTTGGAATTCACATTATACACCATTTGATTTTTTTGTGCGACTATGTAAATAATTGTTGTTTATAGAAGTTTCCAAACAAGTTAATCTTTCTTTTCCAGTTAATCCACAGGTAAAAATAGCTAATTAATGCTCAGATGAAATGCTAAACTGTAGAATTTGCTATTTAAATTGCACCTGAAAACTAAAGACCAAAAACAACACTTACATTTAAATGAGGAACAGAATATTAAAACATCAAATAACAAGGACAGATGTTCAAGGAACTGGCATAAAGCAGAATTTCTTAAATGAAAAGTGAAGAGGTTAACTATATTTAACACATCTCTACAAAGGTTAATTCAGCAATTTTAAAAATCATCAATGCTGACACTCTGTAACTTTCTGTAACCAAAACTTACTTTTGGAAAACAAAAACCTAAAAAATGTCCGTAAATGTATTCAAAGCAGCTACATAAAAGTCCTTGTAGTACCAGAACTCTTTTAAATTAATCTGTCCCTTCGGAATTGAACTGTATACAGATTTGTGTTAAATTGGGAGGTAGCTGCATGCCCATTGACTTGTAAGGCCAGAAACTAAACTCTTTCATTCCTGATTTGATAAATGTTTCTCCTGCTTCCGCCTTGCACGCCTCCTCACCTAGAAGGAAGGGAATCTTAGCTGCCACCCATCCAGCCTATGGACAGTATCTTACGAGTTTCAAATACATCAGCCACAGATGTTCCCTGTTAGGGTAAGGATGTAATACAGAACACAATAGACAAGGACATGGGCCAAATAAGCAAACATTTGTTATCATGGTCAATATTAGAATCAAAATGGTTTTATTGTATCGTATCTTTATCCTGAAACATATGAAATAAATACATTTGATTTCAGGGGACTGTATTATAAAAATCTATATCATTACCGTATTCTTACAAAATTTAGTTTTTCTTGAATAGCACTTTGACTTTGATTAGGACTTCGGTCTCCTGCTTTACTTTGCTTGAATTTTAGGGAAAAAAAGCTAATAATACTGTATTTTTAAATTATGTGACATAAACAACACTGCTTGGAGTTAAAACATAGTTATCCTTGTTTTACTCTTGTGCGGCATTTTCTAATCAAGCATCCAAGAAGAACAAAGTTTTTTATTTACCAGTTTTAAAGGAAGTGTTCTAAGGTCTTGGACTATAATGTTTAAAATAAAACAACTTTTCAAAAAGATAAAATCATGTCAAATACTACTACATCTAGCCCAAATAAGTGCATTGTGTATATTCAAGTGCTGTATTTTGAAAGGGAAAAAATATTACTGTTGAGGAGTATTTGAAAACAACAAAACTGAAAACTCTCTCGAAGATGAATGAGATACAAACACATGGGGATCCTTAAATCTCACATGAAAGCACTTGAGGGAGTGGGTGAATTTAAATGTGAAGAACAGTTTGAGTCCATTGGCAGTGTCTGTAGTTCGTTTCAACATGGAGTTGAAACACTGTTATTTACAGATAAGAGTTCTATTTCTGAGATAAATAAGTGCAGCATGCTGAATATCATCAGCAGCTGTAGCTCCTATGGGTACAAATTAAAAAGAAATGCCAAAAACATTACATTTCAGCAGTGTGATTTCCCACTGGAATCACCACTGATTTGGCCTGGTGTTTGTGGAAACAGAAAGCTCTGATTCCCCCACCAAAGGAAAGTGAAAACCAGTTCGAATTAAGCAACCTGAGTGTCAGTTAAAAAAACCTAGAACACAATAAAAGTAGGAGTCACAGAGCCCCACATATAGCATTTATACTTACAGCATTTTATACTTACACCTCAATAGGTGTTATAATAATTAGTAACTCCACAACATTGTAATACTGTGAATAAAAATAATTATCCAACAAAGCTTTAAAAATATATATGTAATTAAGAAAATGTGACATAATTCAAAAACAACAATTCGTCTATAATTCAAGCTTAATCCTGGAGTAATTTGTGTTGTGCTAAGTAAATATTGATTGTGAAATTTACCATTCTTGCCGGTATCTAGATATCTATATTTGATAGTTCAGGTGGGTAGCTGCGTTAGCATGCATAGGCTATAAAGGAACAAGTAATAGGTTTATTAAATGCTGAAAAAAAGAAGAAAGAAAACAACGTTTTGGCCATGGAGCCTTCTTTAGCTCACACCTGAAGAAAGCTCCACAGCCAAAATGTTGTCTTTCTTTTTTTCAGCATGGAATAAACCTATTACTTTTTCATCTATATTTAATGTCTGGGATAAAAAACTCACTATTTTTTATACCAGATTTTGGAATAACCAATTCTTAGTCAGCTCAGCCTTGCAATCCTGTATCAAACATGGAGGATGAGAATTGGTGAACAAACTCCTCTGACACATCTGTGAGCCAGAGGTACTTGTCATTTGACACACTGTGTGTTCCAGTGTCTTTACAGGACAATTGAGTTTCAACTTCATGCTTTATTATGCATTCCTGAAAAATTAATGAAAGAGATTTTAGACACTCGTTGGATAAGACTTTTCCTTATCTAGTTGATCCTTTATAAGTAATTTATTGTCTACGGGAGAGCATAATGATTGTCAGTATGAGACTCACAACAGTTTAAATGAATGACAGGAAGCAGGAAAGTCGTCTTGATTGAACTGAGAAGGCATGCATTGTAACATTTCAAACAAGAGAAGCCCGTTAGGTAGGTAGTAGCTACTGTAACTGATCCTGATTATGATTTATTAATTATATTACATATATTACTGATTTCTTGAAAGTAACCATGGTATGAGCCACAACATTGCTGTAGAGCTTGCTCCAGACCTCCACAACCAATTGTAAAAATTATTGCCTCAGTTCTAAGTTTTAAATGTATTTCCCCATACTTTTCCAAGTGTGACCTTTGGCCCAAAAGCAAAAAATTCACTAAACCCTTCTCAACTGTTGCCAAATTTGAGAAAAAAAAAGAGCACCACATTCCTTTTTTACTTAAAGGACTCTCCCAATTTAATTTTAATGAAAAGGAAAACAATTCTCATAAATATTAATATGTTTAACAAAACCCACCTAAATTCATTTCATTTACTGGCATCTCTTCCTTTTACATCTCTTTCAACTGCTTATTTTAGGTCCAATACACCAGGTTATTTTTCTTTCAATATCTGGATTCATTTTTTTTTTTTAGTGTGCAGATTCCAAATGACATTAGATTAAATAAAATAATGTCAAAACTCAACCCGGCTCTGTTCCACTGCACGTTGTCACAATCAATCAGTCGGTTTGTGCAGAGCATGGCAAGCATGCCACAAACCAAGAAGAAAAATAAAAAAAATAAACCTGCCCAATTTTATGCAGGTTTGGAGAGTTTTGCTGGCTGACATTGAAGCGCACACCGATCTGTCAGTTTGAGTTGTGTCTTTTCGGTTCATGGCCACTCATTCCAATTGCATGTGACAAGACCTTCAGCCACTTTTTTTATTTTTTACAGTTCTGCTCATGAATTCTTATTCTACTCATGCTTAATCCCTAAAGATTTGATGGTTAATACATAATTTGATTCACAATCTGGTCCACCACTTTATTCATTGTGCTTACCTTTGAATGTTTAGTCATTAAAGAAAAGGCAACTCCTGATTAACTTTATAAAAAAGTCCTGAGACAATTTACCAATGTTTATGCGAGTCTGTAACAAGTTAGCAGATTCTCCGTAAGCTTTTAGCTGCACCTTTTCAATGTTGTCATTCCAGTTAAAATTAAGTTTTATTAGCTATGGCATCTTATTTTAAAAAGATTAAAATGGCCTTTTGCATCAGATTAATCAGTTTACATTTGCAGCTTTGACTCTCATTTTGCTTTCAGTGGTATGTTGAATTTGATACAATCTTATTTTTCACCCATTAATTTGGAATAATTCATATTCAAGAAAAACACAAGTCCTGAGAAAGCCATTAATAAATCACTTAAAAGAAAACATACAGACACAGGCACGAGTATTCATGCAGTGTGAAAACGCCCAGAACCAAAAACACAAGACCACCCACTACTTAGCTGCAGTGTACACAGACTAAAAGTAATGGTGATTTCCTGGCAAGGTTTAGTCAAGAGATGGCAGACTTTAAAGACTTTAAAGTCTTTATAGACTTTATAGACATACATGTACTGTATACCACACATACCCTGGAGTATCACACTTGTGCAAGAGCATTAAAATGCCTTGGCCAACATAATTTAGGGCAAAGCTAAGACCAATTATTTTATTCTATTGGACACTGGTCTTATAATCTGGAAATGACCTGCTTAACTTTTACATAAAAGTTAATTACATTTTATCTAATAAATGTCTTTATCACACTGGAGCTGGCAATTAAGCAATAATACTGAACATGTACAGTATAATGCTTAAGTCATTAAGTATTTATTTATTT